CCTCCCCTTCCCCCCCCCCCCCCCCGCCCCCCTGGCCCTCCCACCCAATATTGATGTCCGACATTTCTCCCTCCACTCGAGCAACAGCATGCAGCTCGGTTCTGCTATTCACGCGCCTGTTTGCTCCTGTTGTTTCTCCGTCTCACTACTTTGTCTGATTGAACCATATTCATTGCAGGGCTTAATGTTCTGTTCTCATGCAACCCTTGTGCTGCTTGCAGCTTTTCGTATTTGCTATTTTGCATGTTCTTTCTCCTCTCTCCAGCGAATGTTGCTGCATGGTCGAACGAACATCATGTCAACCGATGCTTGATCCTCTAACGGCACCTACCAACCTTCGTCACCAACTCCCCTCGTCGGACGGGCAAGACTGGCACCTAACGAGCTGTTCTCTCCATCTCGCAAGGCAAACCATGTGCCTTGATTTTCCGTCTCTCGGCCCCTCCTTCTTCAAGGCAGTCGGCATATCTCTCTTGGGAATATGAGTCTGGGCACAAGCATCTCTTCGCTTGTAAGCAGCATGCGGCGGGCCTTGGTCTCGGCACGATCTATCAGAAGCATCTTCCCAGCTGTGCTTACGCGTTCGTGGGTCTCCCAAAACCTTTGGGGACGGAGAATCGCCAGCATTGCGCTATGCCTGCACTGGTCTGCACTCCGAGCTTTTAAGTGGGCCACGCGAGATCATCCACGATCGCAGCTGTGTTTGTTGTTTGTAGAATCTGGTGCCTGGCAATTCTGAGCACTTGAACAGCACAGTCACTCTGGGACTCTAGGTCCGCGTGACGTCAACATGCTCAAGGCACATCACTGCATCAAGCTCGACGGAAGCACATCAGACCGGCGTACGCTTCGTGGTACGGTGGAAACGTGTACTCCGTAGGCCTAGCTCCACAGAGACATGCAGACCACCAGCATGATCTAGGGCGTGCCTGAAAGCCGATTCCGGCAAGTCTGCCTGCAAAGACACGCGGCGTCTCGGAACTTGGAGACTCGGGAGGACCAGTGATGCTTTTGCCACAGGGCCTGTGGCTCCGCTGACTCGGCCGGCGCCGGCTCTGCCAACCTTGGAGCCGCTGAGCTCCCAAGAGGCGGGCGTCCGAGCCGGGGCCACGACTCTACAGGACGGTCCCTGAAGCGGAGGAAGCCACCCATCCGATCCATGCCTGCGAGGCAAGCAGCAAACCATCCAGGACCTCCAAGAAGTCTCCAAGGCCAAGGCGTCCAATCGCTGCTTGCGACAAGCGCATGTCTCTGGATCCCTTACATTGACATGCGTACTTGGGAGGGCTCAAAAACGATCATGCAGAAGGCTTCCGAGACGGTCCTTGTTGCCGTCCATCAGAGGAGGCCTTGGAAGTCGCGACGAAACTTGCTACTTTGGTTTCTGAGACCCTGCAGAGACCTCTTGCCGATCAGCAGCTTCTGGGTCTTGTTCTGACCGTTGTAGGCTGGGTGCTGGCACTGTGCGAACAGCCTCATGTTGCAACAACGTGAACGAGACCCTCCAAATCCGCCCTCCTACCCTCCTAGCTCGGACATAAGTGCCGCCGAAAGGAAAGGCCAGATATACGTTCGCAAAGCAGTCTGAGATATGTGCTGCAGCTCCTTCTGTGCCTGACAAGGGTGAAGGAATGGACTCTGAATAGACATCCACCATCACGATACTGTGGACATGCCTTTCCTTTCCACAGCATGTGAGAAGCAGACCAAAATCATCCAGAATCCAAACTCACGCCTGAACGAGCTGGTCTTCGCTGAAGGAGCGGAAGACGACTGAGAAACGTCTGCCGCGCTTTGTCAGCTGAATCTGAGTTCTCCAGTCGTGAGGATGGCGGGATATCCAACCGGTGAGAGATGCGCACCGGGGCAGCCACCAATAAGTACCAAAAGGACGGAAGAATCTGGTGTCGCCCGAACCGCATGATGTTTTGCGCCTCGAGCTTACATCTGTGCGTTTCTTTGAGGAGTGCATCCTTGACGTGCTGCCTCCGTTTTTGTAGGATCCTCAGGAACCTCGTCCTCCTTCAATGACACCTGAGAGTTCAGAGACCATGGCTCTCGCTTCGCATGAAAACCGCTGCCACCTTTTTGATGCCGAAGGCTTTGGCAAGGGCCTGGCACAAAAGAAGCAAAGTGTGGGTCCTGGGTTGGCGCTGTCAACGAAGAGCATCAGCCTTGTTGGAGTGCTGAAGGTTCTTGATCATCTGATCATACATGGGCCGGAACCTGGCAAGGCTACTGAAAACCAAGACAATCCAAGAAGGCACCGGGATTCTAGGATTCAACTCAGGGCAGGCGCGCTTTGTGCCGGGCTCCCCGGGGCAGGTGAAGCAACATCGCTTGCCGGCACCCAGCTTGAGGTTCTCTTCCCGCGCCTGGAGGGGGGGGGGGGGCGAGTGCTTCCTCGTTTCCGGAAGTTAGCTGAACACCAAGGCGGGTCCTTGTCCTCCATGGTCGGATCAGCTGGATATGCTCGCGCGACATACTCTGAGTACCTGTACACCGGCCATGAAGCCCAATCAGCAAAAGACGCTACCACAGTCTCACAGTCTGGCACGTGATCAGCGAGGAGTGCGGAGGCTCAAGGGATGGATCCGGAGACTCCAGGGTCTCAGTTACAGAGCTTCTGGCCGGAAGGCAGCGACAGGTGCCGAGTCCCGGGCCCATTCACCTGATTCTTCGTCGACAGACCCCCAAGCCAAGCTAGATAGAGCCTCAGCAAGGCCCTCAGCTAGGCTGTGGTCTTGAATGTGAGTGGACCCTGCCGCGACACACATGGAAACGCCTCTTGTGGAGTTTCCCTCTAGCTTTGGACCCTCATCCTACCACCCTCATGGACATGCATCGCCTTAGCTTGCCTCATTCACCCGCTATGCAAATTCTTGCGGGCTTGTGGGAGCGGTTGCAAACGCGTCCAGACCCACCCACACACACACACACATTTAAACGAGAACCCTCCTTCTGTGCATTCGGGAAGAATCGCTGCACTACCGATTCCGTCCTCTCCCAGGCTTCACAGCAAAGACCGAAGAGATGAGTGTCTGGCATCGTTCAGCTCGTCCTGTGATTCACAATGCCAGCCAACAGCTGCTTGGCCGTCGCAGGCACTGTGCACTGCGCACCTCTGTGCTTCTTCCCAGGGCCATGTCGCAGGTCATGATGGTGCCTGTGGTCATGCTGTGCCCGCAGTGCAAGTCTAGAGAACCCTCGGGATCCAAGCCACAGAGTCATGGCCACCTGCTCTGGATCTCTCCAAAAAGCTAAGCGCCGGACGTGGCAGTGCCACGTGCAGAACCAACCATCTCTTTCTTTCATCCTGAAAGAGACAGCCCTCTCGGCTCCAAACAGGAGGCACGCGAGAGGCAGCTCCTCCGCCAGCTCGCTCTCGAAAGGAAAAGCGGGCTCCTGCCAAGCCGCCAGGCGCAGAACATCGACGTTCAGAGTTCGTTGTTTCGGAGTAATGAGCGAATGAGCGCTTTTGGGCCGTTCGGGGTTCCTAGGACCGTTGGGCTCGTTGGCCTCGAGCAGTGTTTCTTCTGGGCAGCTGCATCTCTGACTCCCCAGTGCTGCCTCGATCGGTGGCGGCTGCAAGGGCATGTCAAGCCCCCCAGCCGGGGGATCCATGCATGGTGCCTGGCCATTGAGGGAGTCAGCGCCACTGTTTTGTGCGGGCGGGGAATGAGGGACTGGGACCAGGGTCTAGGACTGCATAGCTTAGCACGTGCCTCTGCTCCATCTGGGCCTTGGAGCGTGCAGCCCTGTTTGGGTCTCACGGCAACAGGACCCTTGGGCCCGGACCTGCCATGAGCGCCTCAGCGAACGCGTCGCTATAATGTCTTTCCACGGACGGTGCCACCCAAAACTAGCTGAGCTTTGCGGCTGCGGCCCGGCCCAGGCAAGGCTGACTACTGACCGCCCTTTTGAGCCCATGGCAGCCGAGACTCCCAGAAAAGACCGAGCCTACGTACGGCATCTCATGACTCGACCCATTCGAGAGCCTCCAAACCAGATTCACTGGGTTGAGGGCTCGACGGCCTGCACTGGGCACTCGAACATTTCTGTTCTGGATTCTGGTCTGATGCACTTGCGAGGTGGCCTGCTTCTTCCACGCCGCGAAGTCGGGACCTTGGTAGATGCAAGGATTTCTTCATTGCGAGAGGTTCTCGTCTCGCGGTCGAAGTGAGCGGGGCCCGGACACTGGTAGGTGGCATCGGGAGCGATGCCTCCGTGATTCGCAACACTGAGACGTGCCAACCGCCGGCCCAAGTTCCCAAGCCTGGAACTGTCGGCCTTCCACGCCCGTCGCGAGCACAAGGGGCTCGTCCCTGAGCCGAGCGACGCAGCGATGCGGCGACGGCCGGAAAGCGCAAAAGCGACCAGCCGAGGCAGAGACAAGGCTGCGGGACCATGGCTCCAACCACGGGAACTCGGCTTGGCCGACCCTCCCTGAACAAAAAAAAGACATTTCCTTAGTCCCAGATTCCAGATGGCAACACTTGCTGTCCCTGCCTGGCTCGCCGGTGTACTGGTCATTTCGCTCCCGATTCGCATGGCCTCTCAGAGGCTGAACATGGTTCTTCAATCAGTTTGGGCCACTGAGGCACCAAAAAAGCGACGGTCGGCGGGGCCTCCAAATTCACGGGAGGCACTCTCGGCGCTTGCCTTTCCCGCATGGCCGGCCTTGCCTGCATGGGAACTCAAGACTTCCACTGCTCGTTTCATTCCTCCCAAGATCAGACACCTTCGAAGCAGCGAGCAGAGATCGTGGCTCTAAAAAGGCAAAAAATGCATCTCTCGATCGGCCCCTCCCCTCCCCTACATGTCAAATTTGCCTCGATGTGCACGCAGGCTGCATCCAAGGCAAAACAAACCCCAAACATCAAAAAAAACGAAGGACCAACTGTGTCTCGGCCCGTCGGCCTGTGGGCGTGGCGACACCCCAGCACCCAGAGAAACGGGCTCGGTGCCTGCAGGCATTTTCTTTTGCCACCCTAATCGTTAGCCTGGTCCCCATTCTGGAGATCATTATCTTGCTTCTGTTCACGGCAGTATCTGTAGTCTTGGTATCCTGATCATGGCGTGGCGTAGAACACAGCATCCACCTTAATTGAACTGTAACATCGCACACATGCCCAGAACGGAACCCAACACGCACACTTACAAATGTTGGAAAAGCATCCGATGTACACGATGTACACTTAGCAGAACCCCCACTGTCAATCCTGCTTGGGCAAGCAGAAGCAACTGAAGAGGTCCCACTGAACTAGCGAGCCATGCATGGCATGGACTCGACGGCGCTTGCCTACATCCAAAGGCATCACGGGAGGTGGGCTTCCACGGCGCGCCTCCGCAGCTTGGTCTGCTTTGGTTCGGTGGTGCACAATAGGTTCGAGGCACGAGCTCACGACAGGGTGCAAAGGTGTCCAAGGTTAGCCATCTTAAGAAAACATGACCTGCGATTGCAACCTGCCGGTGCCTCGGCCCTGCATGTGCGACAAGCTCGAGTATACCTGCTCCCTGCCCGCGAATGCCTGCCAGCTCCCCACACCAGCGCTACCAGAACCTCAGCGATACAGCTTCAAACGAAGAGTGTAGCCGCAGCCCCTTCGATCTCAACACACATCATGGACTGGGTCACAGAACTGATAAAATCCGAGCGGGTAGAGCTGAAAAGAGGGAAATGCCAAGCTGGAGACTTAGCCCTCGACGATCACCGGCAGATCCGCCAAGCCTAGCATGCGACCATCTGGTATAGGGTCCAAATGGGGGAGACACTGAACAGGGGAAGGGGAAGGCAGGATAGACAATCATAGCCTTGGCAGTGGTGCTGGCGTATCGGCATCCTCAGTGACCTCGAAGGGGGCATTGACCTGCGCGGCTCCAAAAAGGCTCGCCCAAGGGAAGAAGCTCGATCCCTCTGCGTTCAGAAATATTTTCGTCGCGAGATTGTCTGGTGAACGCTGGAACCTACTAGGGCTCTTGCACCAGAACTACAGACAGGCGAGCGGCTTACTCCTGACCAATCCCAGCGGAGAAGCTTTGCTTGAGTTCTCCAGCCCCAACAACAAAATGTATGCGCTGATGCTGCGTGGCTACAAGACTGGCCACAAGAACAGCCAGCTCTCTGATAATTTGCGGGCCCCACAATCTGTGCAGCATGGCCTATTCAATCAACCAGAATCGAATTCTACAGTTCAACTGGCAGTAGGTGTCCCAGAACAGCAATTTGACGGCTCTTGTAGCTGCACGGGCCAGAAAAACAGAGGACCGCAGCCCAAATGCACTGCTAATGCACCTGTAAATCCTGTACCCCTCTGGCCATGGCTACATGCCCTCGCCATGACAGCGCTGGCACTTCTTCTCACTGCAGCGTCTAATACTTCCTCGGAGCTCCAACTGACATGATCCAGCTGGGTACAGACAAAGTGAGATAGTGATAGGGGATGTGCGGGTAAGTTGCCTGCACATGCCTGCACAACATTTGCGATACTCCAAGTCAGGAACACAGAAATGTGAAAGCATCGCTGTACGTGCAGAACCGTCATAACTCTCTGGGACTCTGTGCCCCTGTCGGAGCTATTCCTACTGAGTGGACTTTGATTTCCATCAGGAAATCACGGCTTCTTGCCCAAGTGCTCAGGCCTTCACCAAGCACTCGGATACTTTGAGTAATAGGCGACATGGCATTCCCAGTCCTGCTGCAAAAATGGTCGTAGCGTTGAGGGTTCTAGACGCCCAGGAGTGCCTCAGTAGCCTTCTCAGATCGGATCCTCCCATCCTAACTTGTGTTTCTTGCAAGTGTGTTGTTGCTCACTGCTTGCAGCCATGATAGTAAGCTTGCACCAGTCTCGTCTTTGCAGAGTTTGAGTCTAAACGTCTGGTCAGCATGCATGTCTACCATAATGTTCCGGCAACCGATGGTGTTCACGGCTGTGAAACGATACTCTCAGGATCAAGTGACTTCGTCACGAGTCGACTTTCTCTGCATCCCGGCGAAAGCCGAAAGGGCTTCCGAAACACAGTCTTCTTCGATGTAGATCCGGATCCACCAAATCCTTAACTTTGCCAGGACCTGCAAAAGGTGAGACCGAATTGCCCTATGCAAGGAGCATCTATTGGCTCCATTTGCTCCCCTTGTGTTGGCCCTTTCCAGCTGCGCCGCGGGAAGGGACACGAGGACAGCAGCAAGATATGGCTCTAGGACTTTGTAAGTGTTCTCAAAAGGGACGATAAAACAGGCCTCACACGCGAGGCCTCTAGAGGCACGCGAACTGCTACTGCAGAGCACTTGGCAGTCTCGCCAGAAGCTGGAAGCTACACAACGCCACGAAGATGAGGCAGCACCAGCTCATCCATCAGGTGCCAGATCTGGACGCTGCCTGGCGGTCTCTCCGAGAATCTAACTGCAACAGGTCCTGGAAATGACGCAGATACTCCTCTATTCCGACTGCAATGTCAAAGCCAAACCTTGCCAGCACTGCCTCCTGGGAGTACTCCCCAGTGGGCACAGATCCAGCTCCTCTAATCGCCTGCAACTGCCAGGACAGCACTTTAGCAGCTTCTGAGAAAAATCTGAGGACCCTGCATCCTTCTGATCAGGAACCCAGAATGGAATTCCTATGTTCTACGATTCTAGCCGAAAAGATCGGCTTCTTTGGGTAAGCCCATGTGTCCAGGGTGGGCATGCTGCATAAAGCACCTGGCCACAGTGAATACTGCTTGTGGCTTGAACACCCTGAAGGACCCGTGACTCAAGTCACGTCCAAGACGTGCACATAAACGACATATACATTTACATTTACACATATATATATATGCTACCCCCCCCCCCGAAGGATCCACCATTTTAGCTGTTTCAGAAAACTGGATCCAGCATTTAGCTGTTTCGGAAGACTCTGAAGCAAACGAA